GCTAAGTATTACTATGAACTAAATGTATCATGTACAATAGTGCCAAACCAGACTGAGATGAAGCATTAACTGATGTCTGGTACAGTAGATCCTTATTTATCTAAACCTTGTTAATCTGAACACCTTGGAAAACCATTCAAGTTCCGAATACATTATTCATTCTTCATCACGGCTGGCCAGTCTGGAAATCTCTAAAACTGGATTTATGTTTGATTCACTAGGTGAGACACCTCTGGGATAAAGCACTCCCGAAGCAGTATAGATAACCAACAACACATACAGAAAAAAATCAACATTTGTTTTCCCTTCTAAACATTTAAGCAAAGGAATTATTGATGCATAAACTATCACCTAGTGACTGTTTAACTATTAATCTCAACAACTGTAATAAGACAGGCTACAGACCATCATTATTTACAAAAGCTATCAAGTAAACTGTTAAGCATTTCCACTTTAGTGAACAGGTTTATATTTCCAGGAGGGATCACATATTACTCCCTGATACATTAATAACATTTCAATAACAGACATTGAAACATATACCTTTCCTTCCAACTACTTTACTGGAACTGTTTGGATAGCATCTTGACGATGTACAATGTACATCGTTTTTTTCTTAGCTTTTTTTTTCTTTATTTGGTTAATAAAAAGAAGTACCTGTTACATAAAATTGGCTTCCGCCCAGGGTCGCAGAAAGTCCATGACATACAGCACAACTTGTCAGTACATCTTAGATTTTTTTACAGAAAATAATATACTTTTCACTCATACATTCACTCTAGCAATACAAACATACTTCATATATCAAATATGCATAAACTATTAAAGCTTATCTATCATATTGCAGTGCTGGAAAGTACATGGTCTCTAACATTAATGTCTTAAGTATAAAACTCAAATTAAAAAGAAAGCTGCTCCTCATGTTTATGATATAGCATCCAAGCATCTTAGAATTTCTGCTGATTACCTTGAAAGCAATATCTTTTTCAATGTTGTATCGTGAAAAAGCTTCCTATTTATAAACATGAAAATGAGGTTTTGAATTTTGAAATTTGCATCTATATATATAGAATTTTGCAATAAGTAAAAGTAAATCGAACACTTTATCTGTTTATATGTTCTCTTTAACTCCAAAAAGTATCATTTCTGCACAAAATGTCATATTCTAAACATGAACAAACTGGTCTAATGATGTACATCGTTAACTACAATTAAACGGTAAATCAACATGTCTTGTGATTTTTTATCTCAAATTTCAGATTTGTACTGACCAAGTTTCTTATCACCTGTTCGCTTACCGGATTTCTCTGAAGGGGAAGGAGTAATTTTTTTCTGTGCATAATATTCGAATTTCTTTTTTTACAAAAAAGAGGGTGTGTGCATTATACTTGGATGTGCACTGTACTCAAGAAAATACAGTACTTCCCAGAGATGCACAGATATAGGTGAAATTATTTTCAGTAATTCCCATGGAGCATAAAGAATTCATGAATAAATGTTGAAAGTTCCCCTCCAAGGCTCAGTACTTACGCAATTCATTCAAGACAGATTATCCATAGTTCCTATAAGTACATATTTTCTTAAAAAACAAACAATGAACGTAAAAGATTAATCTTTTTTTTTTTACGAGAAATCGGTCCTGTTTAACTGCTGAATTATCATAATTCAATTTTGTTCCCCTAAACTTGGAATAATACGAAACTAACCCATTGTTCAGATGTACAGTTTTCATTTTCAAAACTCACATGCAACTTGCTTCAAAAGACCAATTCATTAAAACAGCCAATTCAATTTTGTTCCCCTAAACTTGGAATAATACGAAACTAACCCATTGTTCAGATGTACAGTTTTCATTTTCAAAACTCACATGCAACTTGCTTCAAAAGACCAATTCATTAAAACAGCCAATTCAATTTTGTTTCCCTAAACTTGGAATAATACGAAACTAACCCATTGTTCAGATGTACAGTTTTCATTTTCAAAACTCACATGCAACTTGCTTCAAAAGACCAATTCATTAAAACTGCCAATTCAATTTTGTTTCCCTAAACTTGGAATAATACGAAACTAACCCATTGTTAAGATGTACAGTTTTCATTTTCAAAACTCACATGCAACTTGCTTTAAAAAACCAATTCATTAAAACAGCTATATAGGTGCTTAACTTCTTCCTTGTAATACACTTTCATCCAACTTTCAAATAATTCAATAAGTCCTATAAACTGCTCTTGTTTGAAACAATTCTTGAAAAAATGCAAACAAGTGTGGCCTTCGAGTTCTTAAAAGTATCATGCTTGGTAGGGTTTCAAAAGAACTTTGAAAAAAATTACACAAAGACAATAAGAAAATTCGATTTCAAAGTATTTAAATTGTACAAATGTAAAAAAGACATAGAAAGGCACGGCTGAAACAACACATGATGCATTTAAGTATCTTCAATCTCATTGAAGTAATTCAGATCCAAATTGTGATTCTTCCCTCAAGCCTATTTCATGAGAAGCGTGTATTGATTGGCATTAGCATCTTCATAAAGGTAGTGGCATTTGACAGGCATACTGACACTGGTATATAAATACATCTACATGGAAACCACTAATGATCTTGGTATTGTTGGATTTGTTTACGTGGTGCTTAGCAACAACAACCACCAAATTGACCAAATCTCTCGGGGGGGGGGGGGGGGGGGTACTGACAATGACAACACTTGAGACAATTTCAACTATTGTTCAAGCCGATGGCAAGCCAACCTGTTATGAACCTCGAAACTTAAGTGTAGTGTTCACGATCATGACTCAATCATCCTGATAATGACTTGGATACCAAGTTCCAGCATTCACAGCAGTCGATATCCTTCGCTTCAGCCAGTAGGTAGAACACCACAAATAAAACAGTAAACATCTTTATTAGCTTTGACAATATGGTGAACAAGTGCCCCAGCGTAAACACTCCAAGAGTGTTGGGTTCAGTATGACTTCTTTACCACACTATAGAAAAGCTGGTAAGGTATTTTAAGAATATCCACAGCAACCCAGGCCCTTCTATCGATTTAGCCTTGCCAAGTGAATATTATCTAGATGATGAGAAAAGAATCCACACACACCCCACACAATTGCGTTCCTTCAATCAGACGGGAGTACAATAAAAATAACTACAATCTCTTCCTGCCTGTGAGCAAAGCATGCTCGCCTTTGGTCCTGGCACTGTAAATCAAGGCAAACCGAAATGATTATTTAGGTAGTGAGGACTTATTTTGATAAAACGATACTTCGATTGTTGAGACGAATAAAGTTTTATGATTTTCGAGTGGCGCAGGTCAATTTCACTCCTAGGCAACTTGCAACAGCGGGTGAAGGACCATATGATTTATGAAATACGAGCAAGATTACAATCACACATAAGGGAGCTTCACATTCGTGGTGTAAGCGCTACATGGCGAAAAAAACATTTTGAAACCACTGCACAATAAATAGACGAGACATGGCCTCTGTGCCTCCCATGATTTTGTGACAGGCTGATGTAATTTATGATGGAACAGTTAACATCATAGCATGATTTTTGACTAGCACTCTTACAACGACCTGATATTTATCTTCCATAAAATATATGTATTTCTAAACACCATGTGGACTGAGTGCGTTGTCCTTGATGATGCAATACTGTTTATTTTCTAAACAGATTCTGAAGAGATGTGGATGGGTATATATGTGGTTTGTTGGGTATGTGGTTGGATGGGTATGTGGATGGTTAGGTGGGTATGTGGTTGGGTCGATATGATGATGGGTGTTTATGTGGATGGTTAGGTGGGTATGTGGATGGTTAGGTGGGTATGTTGATGGATGGGTATGTGGTTGGGTGGGTATGTGGTTGGGTGGGTCTGAAAATGGGTGGGTATGTGGATGGTTAGGTGGGTATGTGGTTGGATGGGTATGTGGATGGTTAGGTGGTTATCTGGATGGTTATGTGGGTATGTGGTTGGATGGGTATGTGGATGGGTGGGTATGTGGATGGGTGGTTATGTGGTTGGATGGTTATGTGAATGGTTAGGTGGGTATGTGGATGGGTGGTTATGTGGTTGGATGGTTATGTGAATGGTTAGGTGGGTATGTGGATGGGTGGGTCTGAAAATGGGTGGGTATGTGGATGGTTAGGTGGGTATGTGGTTGGGTGGGTCTGAAAATGGGTGGGTATGTGGATGGTTAGGTGGGTATGTGGTTGGATGGGTATGTGGATGGTAAGGTGGTTATCTGGATAGTTATGTGGGTATGTGGTTGGATGGGTATGTGGATGGGTGGGTATGTGGTTGGATGGGTATGTGGATGGGTGGGTATGTGGATGGGTGGTTATGTGGTTGGATGGGTATGTGGATGGTTAGGTAGGTATGTGGATGGGTGGTTATGTGGATGGTTAGGTGGGTATGTGGTTGGGTGGGTCTGAAAATGGGTGGGTATGTGGATGGTTAGGTGGGTATGTGGTTGGTTAGGTGGTTATCTGGATGGTTATGTGGGTATGTGGTTGGATGGGTATGTGGATGGGTGGGTATGTGGATGGGTGGTTATGTGGTTGGATGGGTATGTGGATGGTTAGGTGGGTCTGAAAATGGGTGGGTATGTGGATGGTTAGGTGGGTATGTGGTTGGGTGGGTCTGAAAATGGGTGGGTATGTGGATGGTTAGGTGGGTATGTGGTTGGGTGGGTCTGAAAATGGGTGAGTGTGTGGTTGGGTGGGTCTGAAAATGGGTGAGATGTGGTTGGGTGGGTATGTGGTTGGATGGGTATGTGGTTGGGTGGGTATGTGGTTGGGTCGATATGTTGATGGGTGGATATGTGGTTGGATGGGTATGTGGATGGGTGGATATGTGGCTGGATGGATATGTGGCTGGGTCGAAATGTTGATGGGTGGTTGGGTGGGGGTTGGGTGGGGGGTGGATGGATATGGGGTTGGATGCGGGTTGGGTGGATATGTGGTTGGGTGGGGTTAGGTGGATATGTGGTTGGGTGGGGTTAGGTGGATATGGGGTTGGGTGAATATGTGGTTGGGTTTGGGGTTGGGTGGATATGAGGTTGGGTAGGGATTGGGTGGGGGTTGGGTGGATATGTGGTTGGGTGGGGGTTGGGTGGATATGTGGTTGGGTGGGTGTTGGGTGGATATGAGGTTGGGTAGGGATTGGGTGGGGGTTGGGTGGATATGTGGTTGGGTGGGGGTTTGGTGGATATGAGGTTGGGTAGGGATTGGGTGGGGGTTGGGTGGATATGTGGTTGGGTGGGGGTTGGGTGGATATGAGGTTGGGTAGGGATTGGGTGGGGGTTGGGTGGATATGTGGTTGGGTGGGGGTTGGGTGGATATGTGGTTGGGTGGGGGTTGGGTGGATATGTGGTTGGGTGGGTGTTGGGTGGATATGTGGTTGGGTGGGGGTTGGGTGGATATGTGGTTGGGTGGGGGTTGGGTGGGTACATGGACGGATCAGTGAATCAGTAGGAGGCAGTGTGTGAGGCTGGGAGGAGCAGTAAGGAGGGGAAGTGATTGCAGAGTGTGAGATGGATGGAGATCACTGAGCTACTTGTGCCTCATCTTACGGATTTAAACACAAAACAAAATCCACAAATTAAATTTCCTAGTCAGAGCATCATGTTTATTTCACATCTATATATTATTGTCAACTACACATAGCTCTAATGATCATTTCCTGATTGCCATATCACTCTCAGCAACATAAACATACACTACTTGCAGTGAATAAAGTTGTACATTCATTGTAAGCATTACAGACTTGCAACATGCAAAAATATACAGCCTGCACATTGTAAAATTATACATTCAGAATTGTATGTGTATATATTTGCTATAACAAAGAAACAATCAGACTTGCATACCGAAGTCAGCACAGTTATATTCATGTTTATTTATTTTATTACAGAACCTAGATTATTTAATTAAGAGACACGCAAACTAAAACATGTTCATGTAGCCTTACTGCTCTCGCTCACCTGGACAGTGAGTGAGTGAGTGAGTGAGTGAGTGAGTGAGTGAGTGAGTATGGTGTTTGTAGCGTGGCTAAAAGTATGGAGAAAGATCCTGCATGAGTGAGTGAGTGAGTGAGCGAGTAAGTGAGAGAGAGTGAGTGAGTGAATGAGTGAGTGAGTGAATGAGTGAGTGAGTAAGTGAGTGAGCGAGTAAGTGAGAGAGAGTGAGTGAGTGAGTGAGTGAGTGAGTGAGTGAGTGAGTGAGTGAGTGAGTGAGTGAGTATGGTGTTTGCAGCATGGCTAAAAGTATGGAGAAAGATCCTGCATGAGTGAGTGAGCGAGCGAGTAAGAGATCGATCGGTTATGTGTGAGCAAGTTGGTTTTTAATTTCACGATCATCTCAGTTTCAACATATACTGCCTAAAAAAGGTCAAACAATAATTATAGGTCAAACATTTAAATATAGTTGCCCCAGGAATTAACAACCTGATCATGCTTCTACTGTCAGTTATCCTGACACCGTCTCCAGGCTGGTGAATGAATACTAGCTTCGTGTTTCACTGAATGTAGGCGGGTGATTTTGGTGATTGGTCAATGTGGCTGCCTTGTTGGCTGAGCTGGCAAATCATACGATCAAAACTGAGACAGCAATGACATGGTGACAATGTCACAGGTGTCATTAACCTGTGATGACAAACAACAGGTGGTCAATGGACAGTTTTATGACAATAGATAATATCCAGGTGATGTTAAAATCCTTTGACTGATTGTGATTACAAGTGCAGCAGAAATTAAGGTGTTATTACAACCTGCTTACTGTGAGATAACCTGTGTTTCAGACAAGTCACGAGAACAGACCTTCAGGGCAACTATGCCTGACGTAAGAGGCGATTGGGTGGTCAGGCTCACTGACTTAGTTGATACATGTCATCGTATCCCAAATGCATGAATCCATGCTTGTGATGTCAATCACTGGATTTTCTGGTCCAGACTTGATTATTTACAGACTCCCTTCATATAGCTGGAATATTGCTGAGCACGGCATAAAACAAACAAACAAACAAATAATCTCTTTTTTTGTGGTAAATTACATTATTTTCATGTGCTTTTTTAAAATGTGTATTTTTGGTTCTGGGCAGTTGGATCTGTAAACAGAACAAAAAAGGTTGCTCTAGCATCACAGACACATTTATCATGCCTTCCAAAATAGTGAAACAAATAAGAGACTATTCTGTCTGTGAGCTAGCTATGGATGCAATTTTATATTGTAATTCTTAAAATAGTCATTCTTGAAGAATAAATCTACATCAGCAAGCTGTGCTAATTTTGACACCATCCATCTTTGTGACAAAAAAAAGTGTTGTTTGAAGCCATCCATCAACTACACGTACATTAAATGAAATATATTCCAACTTTCCAAACCCTTTTGATTGAGCATTTATCATGATTGGGAGAAATAGACCACACATCACTAAATTGTAAATCTGGTTCAAAGTGAATAAGAGAGTGAGTGAGTATGGTTTTACACTGCTTTTAGCAATAGTCCAATCATATCACAGTGGGGGACACCAGAAAGCGTAGTCTGTCTTACAGACCCTGATACAAATATATATCAAATACAGCCCATGCAAGTCTATAATGTTTGGCAAGTCTAAATTACTGCAGTATCTGAAAATGAAGAGAGTCACTGGGCTCCTTTTTATTATATTTTTATTAAGATAACTGAACAACTGTTTTTTCTGTACGATATGTTCATTTCAGAGACTAGATGTTAGTCTACAGAAAGCGCTTCACACATTGTACCCATGTTGAGAATCAAACCTGGATCTTTGGTGTGACGAGCGAACGATTTAACCACCAGGCTACCCGACCGCCCCCAAAGTGAATAAGGATGAATTGAACGAGAATTACAAAAATGTTTAAGCCTCTTAAAAACAATATTTGGCTGAAATTCAACGAATGCATGACCATAGAAGATATAACAAAAGACATATAGAGAAAAATAATTCTCATGTCATGACACCGACATATTGTGTGGGCATTGTCAAATAAAGAGACATGAACATGGGATACTCTTCCTTATCCAGAAGCTAGTACACCGTTTCATAAATATGTTTGACATATTGTAACAATGTCAAGAATAAAATTCAATCTGACAGGATTATGACAGGAATAATAACCCACTTCCTACTGTCTGTTCAGTATCGTGTAGTTACCTCCCCTTGCTGTTTGCACTGTGGGGAGCTTGCATAAACCTACTTCGATCTAGTTTACAACCTCAATTCCATACCTGTAAAATTCACATGAAACTGAAATTGTCATGGTAGAATTTAATTAATATCTACATCTCACAAAATAGTGAGTGAGTTTGGTGTTACGCCGCTTTTAGCAATATTCCAGCAATGCCACAGCGGCGGACACCAGAAATGGGCTTCACACATTGTACCCATGTTGGGAATCGAACCCGCGTCTTCGGCGTGACGTGCAAACGCTTTAACCACTAGGCCCCGTCTCACAATATAAATGATCACAAAATAATTATGATTTGTTTGTTTGTTAGTTATTTAATGCCACACTCAACAATATTCCAGCAATATGACAGCGGTCTGTAAATAATCAAGTCTGGACCAGACAATCCAGTGACTGACATCACAAGCATTGATTCATGCATTTCGGATACGATGACATATGCATCAACCAAGTCAGCAAGCCTGACCACCAGATCTTTACAGGTAGAATAATTACGAAACCAAAGGTCGAAAAACATGCTTCCTGTTTTTCATGACAGTCATATGTATTTAGGTCATTAACAAAATCATGGTCTAACACAGATCCGATACTGCCAGTGGACCAATCAGAATGAAGCATTACAACATGTCATGGAAGAGATTGTTTCAACAAGGTTGCAGCCAAACAGTCAGCAAACCATCTCTAATGGCTGCAAAACATGAAACAAGCCTGAGATGTCCATTAAGTACTTCAGGGACAAGTAGTTCTAGACATAAATGGCTGAAAAAAAGTGGTCACCATTCCAGAGTGTTCAGTCACTCACCTTCTCAGATGCTGTTTCCTGCACAACCACAAAGGAATATCAAATATAAAACTCATGATGAACTCCTTTGCATCACTATCATTTAAGAGCGCAAGAATTCTTTCAATGTGATGTTTTCGGTACGGACGCTAGGACCCTGATCAAACAAGCATAAAGGTATTAGCATCTTCTCTGAATATGTTCTGACACAATTAGTTTAACAACACAAACTTCATTTTCATCTGACAGACCCATGAAGATTCCGGGGTAGAATAGGTCTTCAGCAACCCATGCTTGCCGTAAAAGGTGACTATGCTTGTCGTAAAAGGCGACTAACGGGATCGGGTGGTCAGGCTCGCTGACTTGGTTGATGCATGTCATCGATCCCAATTGCGTGGATTGATGCTCATGATATTAATCACTGGATTGTCTGGTCCAGACTCGATTTTTTACAGACTGACGTCATATAGCTGGAATATTGCTGAGTGCTGCGTTAAACAAACCAACCATTTTCATCTGAAAAATTTTCTTTTGGACACAAAATTGAGCAAAATTATTTTCTCCCAGTTTCTCTAAATCGTAACTTTTGTAATTAAAGATCTGTATTCACCAGTGCCAAAAGCTGCTGTTTCTAACATAATCTCTGATAAAATAACCTACAGAGCTGAAAATTTATTTTATTGAAAAGTTATTTCCAAATATAACTAAAATGCAGCCAAACTGTATCCTAGTTTGGTGATCAAATGAACTTCAATTCAAGGAGTTTGTAACCAGCAATCACAGTCAATGCCTCAGTCTTTGATTTGGTCAAAGAAGTCTGAAACGTTCTCAAAATGTCTGAAAGTTGTCTACAACTATCTATTTACCCTATTTGACATAATAAGCAGCCAGGGCGCTCTCAAATGAGAAATAGGGGCACTTATTAGAATATAATTATGGTCAACAAGACAGAATTGAAAGATCGTAACTTTCGTGATTTGGCCAACACGGACAACGACCGCTCTCAGTATTTTAGCCGTTTAGATATATGTCTCTTACAAATATGACATGGGCATGTTTGCACATATTAACTTATGTATCTACGTATTTGTGAAAACACAGCTCCACATAAACGATGAGCAAAAATGATCATCAGCGCCATTGTTCCAAACGGAAAGTAACGGTAACCAGCAGGTAATATGTGTGTTTGTTTGTTTGTTTGTTTGTTGTTTAACGCCGCACTCGGCAGTATTCCAGATATATGATGGCGGTCTGTAAATACTTGAGTCTGAACCAGACAATCCAGTGATTGACCACATGAGCATCGATCAACACAATTGGGATACGATGACATGCATCAACCAAGCCAGCGAAATAACCTAAAAATTACCTCTAGTTTTTAATTAATCATTGTTTTTAGAAGTTAGAACCTCGCATAACACCATTGCCACAGGCTAATTTGCATATCATTGTTTTTAAACAA